ATTTGTCGTGTGTATTGGTGTGCATAGTTTTAGGTTACAATTGTTTCATGGTACATGTAATGAGGGGAAGAAGTTACTTCGTATTATTATACACCATATCACAGAGAGAAGTCGGATACGTGTTGCCTGTACGAAGTTCCGTGGTGAAGAGGTTGAATTTCAAAATCTTTTGATGGGGGTGTTCGTATTTCCGACAGGAACAGTTTTTGTTGGGGATTGTTTTATTATTTTATTTTTTTTATCTAATTTATTTAAATTAATGTTTTTATGTTATTGTTTTATTTTATTTATAATTTTCATTATTATTGTTATATTATATTATATTTTTATTTATTTATAATAATAATAATGTTCCTACAAAGTGCCATATTTCTAGATTTTTTAAACTTTCATCTAAAGGTAAAGTTTTCATCATTTTAAACCATTAGCGATTTCCACTAAGGAATTTCACACGTGTAAATATCTTTTGCTTTACAAACAGGAAACGTTCATAATCCTTTTTTTTTTCTCTTTTTTTTTCTTTTTATTATTATTATTATTTGTGTGTGTGTGTATTCTCAAGGAATAAATTAGAAATTAATCACACGATGAAGCGTGTGCTAATCACACATTCATCTGTGCTAATATTATACCAAAACATCAACTTTTAATTATAGAAAAATATTTTTTCCAGAGACAAAAATCAACTTTTCCCCATTTCTAAGGTCGGCGTAGTGAAAATGGCGCAGGCACCTTAAGAGAAAAAATATCTTGAATGTTTTTACTAGTGCGGTCCGCCTTATGATGAGATATATCTTATCCGACACACTGGTCGGAAAAAGTTGCCTATGTCTATTCGAAAGCAAAATTCTCCTAGGTTTCCAACATATATGTATAATTGCCTGATGCTTAGTCCCTATTAAAGACGTCAACTCAGGTACATGTTCAACAGCCACCGGAATTATGCTGAGCGGACCAGTTTCGGGACGCGGAGGGCGTATCAACAGATCACAGTCAGTACGCTCACCCTCTCGGTCATGATGACTTGTAAATTCTTACTAGCACAACTATCGAAGGTTTCCGAACTTTTTCCGTTTACACAATTTAACTTACAAACTTGGGTCAACCCAGGTACTTTCCAAAGGTACCGCACGGTGGGATCTCCTCTACGATAAATCGAAATTCGAACCTCATAATCGGAAAGCGAACCTTCTAACCACTAGGCTATGCACATATACAGACATAAATTTTGCTGATAGTAGCAAACATACTATCTTCTATATTGAGTACTCTTTCCTTATAAAACGTGTTAAATTTTAATTTTAAACAAATATATGATATTAAACTCGTTAAATTTTAAACAAATATATGATATATACAATGTGGACATACAAATCAACACTGCATGGTGACTGTCAGTTTTAGGCTTCAATGCAATCTTTAGACCGATTCGGTCTGAAAATATGTAAACATTCTATATAAACAAGATATACATACATAATGGCTGGTTATTTGTTTTGCGATCACACCTGTCTACTAGGTCGGTTAGCCAATCCTTGTTGCTGAGGCACATTTTTGTTTTGTGGTTTATTGTAACTATACTGAGAGGACTTTAGTGTTGAAGACTTATTTTATTTTTGTTCCTTTTAAAACGTCGGGGTTACCATTTGTAGAAACCCGTTAGTTTGTATGTCCTCTCAATTTATATTTAACGCAAAATACCACAAAATATGAAATAACAAGAATAAACACAAAACGGTTTTATGACAGCAAGAATTGATGTACAAGCATAGGGGTTACTATTTTTGTTGGTGTTATGTCCCTTTGACAGAATTAATGTTTTTTTTTACTAATGAAATATTTTTATCTGAGCTCACAAAAGTTGAATGAACTTGTCACTCAAAATATTCACTGTTAGAGAGTTGAAAGAATTATAAAGCTGAGAAAATTCTGAATAAAACTTTTATCTTTAGAAGAGTTGAATGTCCCGTAATGTTTGTAATTAAGTTTCCATTGCTTGTAGTTGAATATTCGTAGTTTGAAAAGTTTCGTATGTTTGTAATAATGTAGTCTGGAAGATTTCGTATATTTGTAATGTAGTCTGGAAGATTTCGTATGTTTGTAATGTAGTTTGGATGATTTCGTATGTTTGACTATGTTTGTAATGTAGTCTGGAAGATTTCGTATGTTTGTAATGTAGTCTAGAAGATTTCGTATGTTTGTAATGTAGTCTGGAAGATTTCATATGTTTGTAATGTAGTTTGGATGATTTCGTATGTTTGTAATGTAGTCTGGAAGATTTCGTATGTTTGTAATGTAGTCTGGAAGATTTCGTATGTTTGTAATGTAGTCTGGAAGATTTCGTATGTTTGTAATGTAGTCTGGAAGATTTCGTATATTTGTAATGTAGTCTGGAAGATTTCGTATGTTTGTAATGTAGTTTGGATGATTTCGTATGTTTGACTATGTTTGTAATGTAGTCTGGAAGATTTCGTATGTTTGTAATGTAGTCTAGAAGATTTCGTATGTTTGTAATGTAGTCTGGAAGATTTCGTATATTTGTAATGTAGTCTGGAAGATTTCATATGTTTAGAAAAATGTAGTTGGATAATTTGTATGTTTGTAATGTAGTCTGGAAGATTTTTTGTATGTTTGTAATGTAGTCTGGAAGATTTCGTATGTTTGTAATGTAGTCTGGAAGATTTCGTATGTGTGTAATGTAGTCTGGAAGATTTCGTATGTTTGTAGTAGTTTGGAAATTTTCGTACGTGAATATGTTTTCATAGCGTCCGCCCGAACTGGGAATCGGAACGCAGTTTCCTTTAAGGCTACATTTTCGTAGGCGAATGATATCAAGAAAGGAGAGAGGAAGAACGAATTTGTGTCTGATATTTTATAATCAACGTAATCACCTGACAGGAATTATTTTTCGTCAGGTCAAGGTCTAGGTTGATGTTATTCGGACATGATTTAAGTGACCGATCAGAAGTTGAGATTTCCTGAAAATATGTATGAAGCTTGATAAGTTCTGTGATCCACTTTTTGCACAGAAATCGACATTGATAAGAAAGTGGTAACGGGATGATAAATTAGTTACGGTTTCTGATACAAAGTAAGTACATCCAATCCAAACCCTCGGTCATAATGACTTGTTCGTGCTAGCGCATCCAAAAGCGGACTTCTGAACAGTTTCTTCTATCTACCCATTTTTAATTAAACACGGCTTGGATTTACCGCGTGGTATGGTTGTTTTTTGGTTGTTTTTTTTTTTTTTTTTTTACACTTCAGTCATTTTCCAAAATTGTGTCGCACGCTGGGATCGCCTATCTTTTCACCTCTCCGACAAATCGACTATTTCTAACTAACCAATCGGCCATGCGCCCATATTAGATAATGTTTCACTAAAAAAAGTAGCTTAGATGTGGCACATTTCCGAAAGTATGGAACACCCAGTGAGGATCGAACTCACTTCTCAGCTATAGTTGAAAAAAAAAAAAGAAAAGATTTTCTAAGCGCAGCTTAGAGGTGGCATAAGGTCGAAAGGGTGGAACACATAATGAGGAGCGAACTCACTACTCAGTGGTAAATTGTTCTAGCGAGACAAGCTTGCTAACCATTTTTACACTTCTTACAAGTGTCCAATGGTTTCTCTAGGCGTAGCTTAGATGTGGCACAAGACCGAAAAATACACTCAGTGAAGATCGAACTCGTTACTTAGTCGTAATTGTTCTAGTGAGACAAGCTTGCTAACCATTTTAATGGTGGTAAAACATAAGCCGCCTTCCAATCATTTTTTTAACCCATCATTCCTAAAATTATTTATGGTAATGGAAAAACAACTATTCTCTCCATAATTGTATGTGTCTAAGTTCTGTCAAGAAAACTTTTTCACAATGAATGCCTAATCTTCCCAAAATTGAAATTATAGAGTTTTCGTATATTAGTTAGGAGGTGGGGCCGGGGGGTAATACATATGAAAAAAAAAAATCTGCTATGACTTTAATAAAAAAAACCAAAAAAACAAAAAAACATTTATAATAAGTTCTATCATTTGTGAATAGTTTCTGAAAGTTTCATTAAAATCCGACAACTATTTTTATTTTTGCAAGATTTTCCAAATTAATGTGTGTCATACAGAAAAAAACGTGCTAAAATTTTATGTTTTTACTAGTTCCGGTGATACAAAGAGAAACAAGGTTTTTTTAATCAAAAATTTAGAATGTTCTAAAAAGAAGGAATTTTTTAAAAAAATAATTAAAAAAAATACTTTGATCTTTCCTCTCAAATAATAACATAAGCATTTTTAGACGCTAAAATTTTGTTTTCATCAAGTTTGGTGTCTTTTTCATCATGCTATGCTCTGTTTTTTAGCGATCTCATGAAGGTACCTAAGTCTTTTGAGTTACAATATTGGAAAAATTATTCAACAAATATGGCATTTGCTAACATGTGTATGTTAAATAGTAAATAAAGGAATAAAAAATGTTTTTGTATTGTGCCTGTAACAAATAATTCGTTTATATATTTGTTCTCTCTCACTCTAGTGGGCGCGTGGGTAACTCGACGTATCACTACGTAACATTTTTACTGAGAAATATCTCGTCTTATTGACTTATCTTTTAGTTTGTTTGTTTTTTAATCAATGATAAAAATAAAATTAACATGAATTTGTTTATATTCTTGCTTTTTTCTTTTTATTCTTATTTAACAATAACTAAGAATAATATTTCTAAAAGGTCCAAAGTTTTTACTTTTTTTTTCTTTTACCCGAACCGGATCGGATATAGAGAGGGGGTGAGAAAGAAAAAGATATAGATAGGGTGAGAGAGAAAGAGGAACAGAGGGGGTGAGAGACCTTAACTATTTTTAAAATCTCAACTGAAGTAAGAACAAACGAGAAAAGTCAAGTTGAAGATAGATTTGTTGTTGGAGAATGCATAACGCTTTCTTTCGTAACAAACATTTGCACAGGGAAAAGCTTTCGTTGATGTTCTGTTAACTTTTAAACACAAGTGCGAACAATGATTATTGATGATGTTGAACGTATCAGTTATTTTAAACGACTACACTATTATTATGGAGATAGGTAAGAAGCTGTTTTGTTTCGCTTTGTTTTTCGATAAGTTTTTAATTATTTTTATTTTATTTTTCACTATAATGTCGACGAATCGCCACAAACGAAGAAAATGCTTTAAAAACGCATTTTAAATAATTTAAATCTCTGTGAAATTATTTTTATTTCAGCCTAAAGCTTGGTGTCATCAAAAAAACGTGCGCACTTTCGATAATGCAAACAAAAAATTCACTACCCTCTGTTTTTTAAAAAAATAACAAAAATCAAGGAATTATTCGATTTAAATAAAACTTTGAGCACTTATTAATTAATGAACGAATTGTAAAGTTAAACTGAATAAGTTATTTAAAAAAAAACAACTTACAAAACTAAATATTTACTAAACAAAGTACTTAAAAGTAGCACTTTTTGAAAGTTAAAAAAATTCTAAAATCAGAATATAGTCTTTTTAAAAAAAAATCACTGGATGCAATTAAATTTTATGACATCAAATAGGTTTAGAAAATAATCAGAAAAAAAAATGAAAGTGCTTTTTAAAAATAAATATTAAAAAATGAAAATGCTATTTTTTAAAAAAATCTTAGTTTTTTTAGTTGTTTTTTAAAACTCCAATTTGAGTTTTATAAAAAAACTAAATCATTAATTTTACAAAGTTTTATAAAAAAAGCTTTTCTAAGAAGTTTTATATGTCTTTTTTGAAAAAAAAAAAGAAAAAAAAAAAAGCCTTTTCCTCTTTCTTTTTGTTTCCTTAACTTGCATTTAACAACAATAACAAACCCTGTCGGCATTTTTTTACGTCCGTTAAAATAAAAAAAGTGTCTATTTACTTTTTATGTAAAAAAAGTTTGCTCTTAACATCTCATTTGCATATTGTCGATGAAGGTTGTTGTCATTGTCATAAAAAACAAAAAAACAAACAAATAAAACAACTGTTACATACAAGTTTCGATGTAATTGCAATTACTATTGTTTTGTTTATTGTAAATACAAATTAAAAAGTAATACTGTGATATAATCATTTCAAATATCTCGGTGTCACAAGAAAAAAAAGTCACAATTAATTAGCTTGGCCCGTAAGGTCATTTATTTCTGTCGGGTACTTCATGAATTATGGATCCTCCCTGTTTGCAACAAAAAATCAGTAAAACAAATCGATCCAGCCTCTAAAAAAAAGTTTACTTAGCTAAACATTTAAACAATGCTCCAGTTACTTACATAAAACTTGACATTATGTGAAGAAAGCATTAAGAAGGGTGTTTTATTTTAAAGTTTGCGCCAAAACCTAAACAAACCACGGAAATTGTATCTTTTATGTGCTGTGTCCCTTCAGGACGTAGGCAGTCATGGCTCTCCACTTCCTCCTGTCCCTTGTAGCTCTCAATAAGTTTTGACTTTTTGTTATTTCTCCCAGACCCCGTTCTCCGCCATTCATTTGCTTAAAGCCCATTAAGTTTGTCACGTGTTGCTTTCCCTTGTCTCTCTTTCTCTCTACCCGACCTGTGAGTATTAGATTTTCCAAGCCCTTTTTTCTTATTAAGTGTCCCAGAAATTTCAGCTGCCTTTTCCTGACGTTAAGTATGAGTTTCCGTTTCATTTGCACCCTTCCAAAGCCTCTGCTGCCTCTAGTCTCTTCTTCATCTTTGAGGAGATTGTCCAATATTTGCTGCCATAAAGGCGGAACAGATATCACATAGCAGTTCAGTACTCTTTTCTTTGTTACCAAAGAAATCCTTCTGTCTTGTAATACTCTGCCTAGCTTTTGGAATGCGTCTTTGGCCATCTCAATATGTCTTCAGATCTCAGCATCGTACTTACCGACCTCTGTCAGAACACTTCCCAGATATTTAAATTTCTGTACCTGCTTCATTTTAGTGTCCCCAACCTGTAAATCGCATTTCAGGCTCATCTTTTAACTGATGACCATGCATTCTGTCTTCTTGTAGTTTATGCTTAGTCCCTTCTTCTCACTCTCCTTTGCTTCCTTCTGTAGGAGGTTTTGTAGTTTTCTTTCCATGTCTACAATCAGCACAGTGTCATCTGCATATCTTATGTTGTTAAGATTGTGACCACCAATGATGAATCCTGGTAGGCGTTCCAGTTTTCTCAGAATTGCCTTGCTGTATAGGTTGAATAGGTCTGGTGAGAAGACACATCCTTGCCTTATGCCCCTTTCTATTTTTGTATATCTGCTGAACTCATTCTCTCTCTGTATGCAAGCAGTTTGTTGCTAATAGAGGTTTTTGATTATTCTTTAGCATCCCACTACCACTTTTTTATCAATCTCAATTTTTGTGCAAATCTGTGCAAAAAGCGGATCACACAGTTTATTCAGCTTCATACATATTTTCAGAAAACCTCAACTTCTGATTGGTCACTGAATATTTAAATCATGTTCTCAACTACATCCAAATAACATCAACATAGTTCTTGACCTGACTAAAAAATAATTCTGCCCAAAATCTGTCAATGTCTTTCAAGCCGGTCATGTGATTAAATTGATTATAAATACCAGTAGTAGTTTGTTCTTTCTCTTCCTTGATTTCTCTCGCTACTAAAATGTAGTCGTAAGAAAGAGATCACGTCTTGACCCCTTGCTGGCAAACGCTATGAAAACATTCACACACACACACACACACAAATACATGTACGTATGAAACTTTTCAAACTTTATTACATTACGAATATTCAACTACAAGCATTGGAAACTTAATTACAAACATTACGGAACATTCACTCCTTCAACTCTTCTGAAGCTAAAAAGTTTATCAACATATTCTCAGCTTTATAGAATTTTTTCAACTCTCTCACAATGAACATTTTGAGCAGCAAGTTCATTCAACTTTTATGAGCTCAGATTAAAAAAAATATCTCATTAGTAAAAACTTTAATTCCATTAAAGGGACATAACCCCAACAAAAATAGTAACCCTTATGCTTGTACATCATTATACAAATATAAATATTAATCTTGTTATAAAACTGTTTTGTGTTTATTCTTGTTTCATATGTTGTGGTATTCTGCTTAAGAATTAATTCGAGAGGCAAGCAACCTCTACACTTCTAATGTCTTTCCTTATTATGTCAATGTTGCTGAGCAGCTCCAACACTTCCCTGTGGTGTACTTTGTCGAATGCCTTTGCATAGTCTTTAAAACACAGGTGCACATTCTTCTGCATTTGCATTGCTCTTTCTGATAACATTCTGAGCTTGAATTTTGTGTTCCTTGTTCTAATGTCTTTAATGATGCTGCATTGTTCTTGTCTTATTTCTGGCTTGATTCTGCTGCATGCTCTATTCATCAGAATATGGATGATTAGTTTTGTCATGTGGCTCATTAGGCTGATTGTCCAATGGAGTTCACATTTGTTTGTACCTGGTTTCTTAGGCAGTGCTCTGAAAATAGATCTACTTAGATTTTCCGGTATATCCCCGCTGTTGTAGATTTCATTTATTATTTCCGTAATCTTGTCTGTGCCAAAATCATCTAAGGCATCTCTGTTACTATTCTGTCTGGCCCTGCCACCTTGTTTCTGTTCAATCTGACCATTACTGCTTCTGCTTCATTTTTTAGAATTTCAGGCCAGTTAGTAATTCTGTGTATTGCCAGTTGTTCTCTTTCATCATGGAAGAGTTTTCCTTCCAGTATATTCATTCCAGTGCTGAAAATTTTTTTCGTTCTCTAATATGAGTATTCCATCCTTGGATTTTATGCATCCTGTTAACAAGCAAGTTTTCTGTCTTGTTACTTCCGTTATTTGTTTATGTATATCACCTTTGTGGTATTTGATCTCCCACTTTTTTGTTTATTTACTCTTTTTTAGCCTGCCTGCATTTGGTCCTTATTTCATTGTGTAATTTTCTGTATTCCGTTCCATATCTTTTCTGTCTCCTTTGCATCATGTCAGAAACCATTAAGCCATAAAAATGGTTTCTAACAAAACAATGCTTCTGTCACATATTTGATATATTTCATAGTTAGGGAGTCCTAGTATCCCATAAGACCCAACTTTAGGCAGCTTAAGAAAATCTCAATTTGACATTAAAATTTCAGTTAAAAGTTCCTTGATTTTTCAATTTATTTATATATGAGACTGGGACATTTTTTTTTTTTTTTGAGAGGTTTGCTATAAGTTTGTTTTAAAATTTACAAAGAAAAATTCCTGAATATGTTATTCCAGTAAGTAAAATATTATCAAGTGTGAGCATATGGAAAATTCATCTCAAACCACACCAAAAATAATTCAATAAACTCAAAAAATATTTTTTTGAGAATTGGTGCTTGCATAATTTAATAAAGCTAAAAAGCACATTGTTTTATTTCAAATTCAACAGAAAAAAAAAACTACCTCCAAAAATTTCTTAAAAAATGAGAAAAAATGCATAAAGTATGAAATTTTATTTTATCAACAAAAACTTTGTGTTATTATTAAGATGAAAGGTTGAAGGATTTTTTTACGTAAATAATTTTTTTAATTCATTTTTTATAACTTTTGAAATTTGGTTAAGCATCTTGTTTTTCTGACATCAATACAGGACCATAAATTAATCTGGGGAATTTTAACGTCTTTTTGCTGTGAAAAACATATTGATTTGAAAATTCTTGCAAAAATCAGATAATTGTCAGATTTTAATGAAACTTTTTCTTAGGACTTATTCAGAAATGAATGAAATTATTTTTTAAATATTTCTGTCTTAGAAAGTCTTTGTAAAAAGTATTTTTTTTTACATATTTTACCCACCCAATTCATAATTTTATGAAATCTCTTTTTTATAGGGCTTAAAGAACAATTTTTATAGGGCTTAAAGAACAATTTTTATAGGGCTTAAAGAACAATTTAAAATTTAAATCATCCTTTTTTTTGTCAAGTGGGACCCTCAGTTAAAGAAAATCAGAAAATAAAAAAAATCAACAAGAGCTTTTAATTGTTTTATGAATATAAATATATTATCTTAAGTAAAAAAAAAAATTTGATGAATAATGAATTTTTACAAAAATTGTTTTTTTTTTTTAAA